TATAGGGAGCCAGTTGCTTTTCCATGATTTTATTAGTAAGTTTGGATTATCCAGGACTTCTGCTCCTTTTTCATAAAGGTTGAGTGACTGTCTTTTCTACTCCACATGGCACCCATTCTTATCAGGCCACCTCATTTTTTCACTTCATAAACAAAGCCCAGGCAACTGGGGTGAACTTCCCAATTTCCAACAGCCTCCACATTCACCTGTATTTTAATTCCTAATGATGAAGATGGTGACTTCCAGATGTTCTGCATTACAGGCATTGCCTCATTTTCTCCTCACAAGACAGGCTCTAGTACTCTCATTCTACATTGGAGGAAATGCAGTTCAGGAAGACTCACCCACAGTCATGTAGCTAGTAGGGGATGGAACCAGTTAAACTCTAAGTCTGTCTGACTCCAAAGCCTGTGTTTTCTTTACTATTTCACTTTCCTTCCCTCCCTCAAATATTTCCTTCCCTACCCCATTCCTTTGTCCCTCCTTTTTCCCTCCCCCTCCCTCCAGTTCACAAAAAGCAGTTAGAAACCATGCCTTCCCCCCCTTTTTCTTCTTTAGGCTTCAAGGAAACAGCAGACATTTCAGAGAAACTGTCATCAAGACATTTATGAGAATTAGATGTGATGGTCCAAGAGGGAGAAGACTGGAAATACTGGAACAGCAGGAGAATGAACAGAAACCAGCTGTAACAGTATCCATACATCTTAATTATCTATGTCAGGGGAAATAAGATCATAAACTTTGCCTGACATGCTATATTCTGGATCTGTCCTACAGCACACAATATATATAGGGCCTAGACTATAGATAGAGCAGTCATTCAATTCAACAAAGTATAACTGAGTCATTCATCCATTCGATAGACATTTATTGAACATTTTATATGTGTGAGGCGTCTGTTTTCTTAACTGAATTGGAAGGCATTTTTTGGGCAATAAGATGCATAATTTGGGAAGAAAATACCTGGAAGTCATATCTTTACTTGAAGGCTGTGAGAAAGACAGAGGTAAAACCAGGTGTTTGTCCTCCAGAAGCTCTGGGTCTGCTGTGGAGTTGGGAGGATGGGAGGAGAAGGACAAAAACACAGTGAGTGGAATTCTAGGCAGTTTGTGGTATGTGTCACAATATTAGTGAAAATTAAGTGTGATAAGAGCTTGAGAGAGAGAAAAATTTTGATTCGAGAGAGATTTGTATGCTAGAGGCTCATTGGTCATTATAATTATTCATAACTTCTAAGTAAATCATAAGTGGTTGTTGAGAGAGAGAAACAGCAGAGTGGGGGCAGAGTGGGAGGAGGGAAGAGGGGAAGGAAGAGGAGAGGAATAGAGGAGCCAAGGCTCTAGGAGTAAGTCCTGGGAAGGGTCTCATTTTGGGAAAGGAGGACAAAAAAGAGCCAGGGAAGGAGTCAGAAGGAACATGCAGAGAAATAGCTGAATCTGAGTAATGCAAAGTCACAGAACCAAAAGTGAGGAAGAGTTTCACAGGAGAGAGCTAGTCTGTTCTGCAGCATTTCATAAGGCACAGGTCATTCCTTTTGGCCCTGGATACATTAGCAGAAACTAGCTTCTGGTTAGAAAATGTTGGGAAAGGTATTTTCCTGAAGTAGCAGTGGTGTTTGGAGGTAGTGGTGGCTGCTGCTGTGGTGCCCAGCAGAGCTAAGAAGCCAGTTTGAGGCAATAGGAGCAGGACACTGTGTAGGGCTAGGGCTTCTCTAGTAGTGGACAGTGGGGTGTCTCCTTGGGTGTGTACCAAGTCTCAAGTCATGCTTGTCCCTCACTGAAGAGGCCAGCTTCATCCCTGGGGGCAAAGAGATAATACAAAATACCTTATATATTAGCAGCATTTTATGGTTTCCAAAGTGTTCTCATACCTATTAGCCAACCCTAAAGCTTGGTACTTTTATCACCATTGCACTGGTGAGGAAACTAAATTACAAAGAGGTGTCTAGGGTCACACAACAAATATGTGGGAGAACAGGATTGGAATTCAAGTCTTTCTGGCTCCAAACGCCTGGGCCTTTTATGTGATACCACAGCAGTCAGCTCTCCAGGACTCAGACTATGACTGCTTTCTCCATGTCCACCTTTTATCTACCCCCCTGCCCTGCCACAAGAAAAGGATCTCTAGGTTCTCCCCACCCAGGTTTCTGGGTCTTCCAGGGGATTTAGGTTCTAGATTCTAGAAACTTCCTCACAGACCTGCCTCCTCCTCTCATTCTCAGGATCTAGCTGGGCAATATTCTCATAGCCTGAAAATCAAGCTCAGAGTCTCCAATGTTTCCCAGCTCCCTTCAGATTAGATTCTTCTCCAGTCTGCTTCCCCTCCCCAAGAGCACTACTCACTCACAGTTCTCCAGGCCCACCCTTCTTTAGGCACCAAGGATACAACAAACATTGCAGAGAAACTGTCATTGAGACATTTACAAACATTAGATGTTAGAGGCCTACTTACCTAAGATCTCCATTATTGTGGAGTCTTAGGCCTTTCTACATACTACCCCTCATCTCTCTCTATCACCCCAGGAGCTCCAGGCCCAGAGCTGACAATTTAGCATTCTTTGGCACTTGGCTCTCAAATGTCTAGGCTTGGTCTCTATACTTTGTCTGCTGTATTTGGACAAGGGTCTCCTGGAATGATACAGAGAGATGAAGGGTAGGGTATAGGAAGGGGGGGCGTCTTTAAGGGAAGCATGTTGGCTAGCATCCTTGGGGAAGAGTGAACTACCTCCTGGCCACCTTCTCTTACATGTGTAATAGGCATCTCAAAATTGACAGGCTGAAAAATGAACTCCTAATCTTTCCCCAAGCCTGCTCCTCCAGAAATCTTCCCCATCTCTGTCAACAGTAACTGCATTCTTCTGGTTGCTCAGGCCAGAAACTGCAGACTCATTCTTGACTCCTCTAGGTCACACCTCACATCGGTAAATTTTGGTGTCTTTAAAAACATGGCCAGGATCTGACCACTTCTCACCACCTCCATCACCCTGGTGCAAGCTACCATCATCTCTAGTGGGTATGGCTCTGAACTGGTTTTACTCCTGTGCCCTCAGCCCTCAGCCACTATGTCAACATAGTACCAGCTGGATACCCTAAAATGTAAGTCAGATTTTGACACTTGCATCTTCTAAACCCTGGATGGCTTTCCATTCACTGAAAGTAGAAGCCAAGGAGTCCCCACAATGGCTTTGAAGGATGTTCATGATCTGGTCCCTGCCAAACTCTCTGACCTCATCTCTACATTTCCTCTTCTTCACAACCACCTGGTCTTTATTCAAAAGTCACCCTAATATTAAAAACAGCAATCCTCTCTAGTCCCCTGGTCCTTCCTTTTCTATTCCCCTTACCTCCTTCATTTTTCTCTATAACAGTGACCACAATCTATGTATTTTACTTGTTAATAATTCTTTTAGGGACATGCTTTACTCAGGTATACTTATATTACAAAAGTAACACATCAAGCTATTATTTTTATTGCGCTCATATATACTTCTTATTGTTAATTTATTTAAATTTTTTTCTTTTTAAACTATAGTTGACATATAATATTCTATTTCAGGTGTACAACATCGTGATTTAATAATTACATACATTAGGAAATGCTCACCATGGTAAGTGTAGTCACCATCTTTTACTGTACAAAGTTATTACAATATTATTGACTATATTCCCTATCTTTTATTTTTCCTCCCACTAGTATGCAGCTTCCTTAGAAAGTAGGAATTTTTGTCTCTTTTGGTCACTATGAGGGAACTCCCAGTCTCTAGAACTGGACCAAGTGCATAGTAGGTTTTCAGTAAGTATTTGCTTACCCTTTTCTGGATTATGGCCAGTGATTTAGAGAATCAACTAAGCACAGCAATGAAGTACATGGATATTGGAGCCTGGTTCAAAGGCAGACCTGCCTGGGTTCAAATCTTGACTCTACCACTAATTAGCACAATACTTAAACTCTCTGTGCCTTAGTTTTCTCATTAGCAGAGTAGGGATGATCATAGTGCCTACTTCACAGAGAGTCAGTGGGACCATTAATAAGTATAAAGCACTTAGAACAGTGCCTTGCACATATTAAGCATGCTATAAGCAGTTAGAATTTATATGCATATGGAGTTAAGATTTTTATCAGTAGATTAGATGTTCTAAAATCCTCAGTGTGTTGTCTTTCACTTGCCCATGTTAGCATTCCTTCATCTCCCATGTTTCTGCTCCCTCACACAGATTTGTCTGATCTTCCTGTTGTTTTAGTTTTCTCCTGTGGCCTGGCTCTTCATCTGTAACTAGACATTTCCTTGTGTACTCTTACCTGCATCATTCAAAAGCTGTTAAATAGTAATCTCACTGGGCCCCAGTTTTCCACTCTGAACAGTGAATGAGTTGGACTACGTAATCTCAATGGGCCTTTCTAGCTCTGACAATCTTCCTGGACAGGAGGGACAGGCCCCACTCCCAACCCCGTCCCCTTGGATATGCCCTCTGGATGCCAAAGGGAAGGGTGACAGAGTGTGCTGGGCTCAGCTTCAAGGGGACCAGGTAGGAGATGTGCCAAGTTTCTTGGGTAAGGGTGCTATGGGGTCCTTGGGCTGGACCAGGTTGGGGGAAGACATCAGAGATAACTGATGGAGAGACACTGTGACCAGGGTGAGAGGAGAGGTGAAGTCACCTCTCTGCAGGCGATGTGCTTGCCACAGGGACATAGCTGCTGTGATGAGCTAGGAGACAGTTTGGGTCTGGGCATCTTCCCACGAGGGATAGACCTGGCAGGACTCTGCCTGCTTCAGCTGGCTAAGCTCTGAAGGACAGAGTCAGAGGCAAAGTGAGAATGACTCAAACCCACCACCTGCCTTCCTGAGCCCTGGCACTGCCTGCTGCCTGCTGTGTCCTTGACTGGGCCAAGGAGGCTTGGCCAGGGGCCAGGCTGGCCTGCACTGTGCCCAAATACACTCCTCGCAGGTCCCCCAAATGTTTCAACTATTGCCCTCTCCATTTTCCGCTTTGCTCCCACAGGTCAGGGCTGCGGAGCCAGGGAAATCTAGCCACCCTCACTCCTGCCCTTTCCACCTCTAGGGGGACCATAGCCAGTGCAGAATTCTCACTTCCTACAACCCTAGGCCCCAGCCCAGATCCTGGCGACAGTGAGGTGAAGCTGAACTGCTGGTTTGACAAGGAGTTCAAGTTCATTCTGCTGCCTGTGAGCTACACATTTGTCTTTGTGCTGGGCCTAGGCCTCAATGCCCTGACCCTCTGGCTCTTCCTGTTTCGCATCCAACCCTGGGATGCAAAGACCACCTACATGTTCCACTTGGTCTTATCAGACACTTTGTATGTGCTGTCACTACTCACCCTCATCTACTATTATGCACCCCACAAACACTGGCCCTTTGGCACTGGGCTCTGCAAATTCATTCGCTTTCTCTTCTACTGGAACCTCTACTGCAGCGTCCTTTTCCTCACTTGCATCAGTGAGCACCACTACCTGGGCATCTGCCACCCACTGTGGGCACTGTGCTGGGGTCACCCACGCTTTGAAAGCCTCCTCTGTCTGACAGTTTGGTTTATCGTAGCTGGTTGCCTCAGGCCCAACTTGTTTTTTGTCACAACCAGCACCAAGGGGGACACCATCCTGTGCCATGATACCACACGGCCCAAGGAGTTTGACCACTATGTGCACTTCAACTCAGCCATCATGGGGCTGCTCTTTGGTGTGCCCTGCCTGGTCATTATTGTCTGCTATGGGCTCATGGCCCGGCGCCTGTATCGGCCCTTGCCAGGGGCTGCCCAGTCATCTGCTTGTCTGTGATCTGTCTGCACCATCACTGTGGTGCTGATCATCTTTGCCATTTGCTTCATGCCTTTCCATATCACCTGCAGCATGTATTACATGACAAGGCTGGTGGAAGCCAACTGACAGGTGCTGAGCATTGTCAATTTGGTCTACAAAGTGACTTGGCCTCTGGCAAGTGCCAACAGCTGCCTGGATCCTGTGCTCTACCAGCTGTAACAGTATCCATACATCTTAATTATCTATGTCAGGGGAAAGAAGATCATAAACTTTGCCTGACCTGCCCCACATGGCTGCATCCTCCCTAGCACTGGTGACCCTGCCTGAGGATGGAAGGTACAGGTGGATAGTCATCCCCATGAACAGTGGCTTCCCTACCCCTGAGGCAGCTAGATTGTAACACTGGAATCCAGGAAGTGAGGGAAAAGGGGGTGCATGCAGAAAAGTGAGGGAAAGCGAGAGTGACATCTGATGCAGCTGTTTCTCCTCTTCACCAGCTCTGGAGGCCCTCGCCTGGAGAGTTAGTGGGCAGCAAGGGAGACCATGTGTGACCCCATCTCTCATAAACTCCTCAGTTGTGCTCTCCTTTCTGGCCAATGCAGTTAGCAACCACTCTTCCTCCTCTACTTCTTTGTCTTGGTTTCTGTCCCCTTCTTGGGGCCATTGGTCCTATCTCTTGATCCTATAAGGCTTCCTGGAAATCTCCCCTGGTCGTCCTTTCCCCTCCCTTTCCCCCACATCCTTGTACAGTGTGTGTGCGTTCGCCCAGCCAGACCAGAGCATTCAATTGGAGGGGTGGAGAAGCCAGGTAATCTCAAGATTGGCCTCACTTATCTGATGGTGATAGCCAGAATCAGGAAGTGGGGGCACCAGCATATCACAGATGCCAAGGATGTGCCCCGTGTAGTGTCCACACCCACTTCCTAGTTTCCCCTAGAAGGCAGGGTAGTCTTGCCTATCAAGGTGCTGAATAGGGCCCAATGGCAGAAAGCCTGCATGTCAGGGTTCCCACATTCCGCTGGAGGCCTGGCACTGTTGAACTGGTGGATAGCCATGAGGTAGAGAGGGATCTCTGAGTCTTACCATGAGGTGGGGACCCTGTGGAGACTCAAGGGGCAGGGCCCAAGCTGATAGTGGCCTTTGGAACAGGAATGTTACTGGACCTCCTTTACAATGTTCGCTGAGAGCATATTTGACAGTTCGCCTGTACTTAATGGAAGGAAGTGTTGGTGGCTTAGAATGAGAGGGAGGAGCTGTAGAATGAGAGGTCTGTGGCTGTTAAGTTCTAGCACCAAGGGGTAGTGCAGGTTCATGTGGAGGTTGGGGTGGTGACATGGATTGATGCCCAGAGGTGGCTCTTCACTGGTATCCCCTTTTTCTAGTTCCTGTCCTGGGTAAATGATACATTTGTCATCAGCTCTTTCAGATCAAGCTTTGGGCCTTTGAGGGCAGGGCAGGGCACTGGGACAAGGATAGCTCCACTCAGAGTCTCTTATGCAGTCATTCCCCTGCAGCACTGTCTTAATGCTTATGGGATAACAGGAGTGGAGGGGATTATAGAATTTGGGGAGCTAACTCCCAAGCCTTGGAAATAAGAGTTTCTGGGCAGGCAGTTGTGAGAAGAGTAGGCTCATACTTGAAGCCTCAGTGAGATTGCCTTCCATCCCATTGGTCTCCTAAGTCTCCAGCCTTCCTTTTATTTTGCTCCACCCTTCCTAAGCTGTCCATGATCTCTCACTTGTCTATTGGCTTCTAAGGGATATCTCTGGAGAGTAAGGTTGGGCTGGTCTGCAGAGGAAAAAGACTTCAGTGCCCCTGAGTCCCCCTTTGCATCCTTTTAAATATTCCCTCTTCCTCCCTGGATATCCAGAGTCTGCCTGCTACTCAGGACTCCTTCCACTGGAGTAAATGTACTGGTCTTCTTACTACTAGTCTCCAGTCTCCAGGCCACTGCCTAGCCTGTTATGTACCCGGTTCCTCATCTGCATGCTCTACCTTTTATTCCTATGATCTCAGCTTCCTTGTCCATCACTTCTCCTATCCACTGGCGCCACCCAGTAAAACTGCTCTCCCTATCACAATTATCTCAGCCTCCTCCATTTCTCCAGTCCATCTGACTTCCATATACTTAATTGAAACTAACTGCCCAGACTTTTTGGTCTGCTACTTTACAGCTGCCTTCTATTGCACTCTAACTTTAGTTAAACACCTGGACTTTCACCTTGGGCCAATCTTCTCCTCTGTCCTAGAACTGGAGGGAATTCCAGAGCACAAGGCTGACTTGACCCACTGAAAGTTCATTGAAGTTCCCTTTCCTCTTATCCTGCTGAATTCCAGAGCAACTGCTTCCAGTCTTTTCCACCTGCTCAAGGCCCCAACTTGATCCTACCCTATGAACTCTGAAGAGTTATGTTGCCTCCTGCAAGACTGAGAAGATTTAACACCTCAACTTCTCTCTGTTTCATTCATGATAACTCTACTGCTATATCCATTCTGATTTTCTCCCTTTCTTCCTTGCAGTTCAGAATAAGAGGTGGTCCTTTTTCTTGTTCCTTTTTTTAACCCTCTTATCATTTTCAGTCTCTTCTAAAACTGACCTCATCTCATCTTTAGAAAACAAACACAGAAAACCCAACCAAACAAAAATAAAACATTACCACTGATACTTTGACCCTGCTGTCTCTTCGGGCTACCATTCTAGTCATTTCATTCATTTCACTGTCAAATTTATAGAAAGAGTACCATAAATCCCATTTCCTCACCATAAAGTCACCCCTTAACTCTCTGAATCTGATTTCCTTCCTATGCTTTTCAGTACCTAGAACACAAATTACCTCATAAGCAAGACCTTTAATAGTCTTTTCTCTACTTTCACCCTCTTTGACTTTGCTACTTCACTGATGTAGATCCTCTTTAAATATTTTTATAAAAACATCATTTAAAAATTACACTATGACATTAAAGGAAATTTTGAAAGAAAATATTCCCCTATGTTTCCATATCCTGGACAATTGTTTTTATTTTTTCATGTTTCATGCTTTTTCAGTTTGTATAATACATATATTTTTTATATAAGCATAACCTGTACATAAATTTTTAAATTCTGATATTAAAAAACTTGTTATTGTAAATAATCTCCTTGTACTTGCAGTATTTCATATTTTTCACTTCAATGGCCACATAAAATTATTCCATCAATAGATTATGTTTTATTTGGCTATTCCCCTATTATTGGACATTTAGGTAAACCCCAGTTTTTTGGTGCTTTGAACATTTTAATGTGTATGGTTTTTATCTTCATTGTAATTCTGTTCCTGGGAGCAAATTCCCAGGAGTGGGATAACCAGATCAAAGAGCAGAAACATTTTTATGCCTCTTGGTTCCCAAAAGGATTGCAAATATTTTTAACACCACAATGATACATGAGTGTTCCAGTTCCTTTTGCAGCTCTAGCATTGAACTTTGTAAAAAAAAATTTTCGATGGCTTAAACACTAATTTGTTAATTTTTCTTTGATTACTCATGGGACTGGACACTTTTCTATATGTTAACTATTTGCATTTCCTCAGGGTCAATTGTCTATTCGTATCTTTCTCCATTTGGCATCTTACTGGTGTTCTTATGCATCAAATGTCTTTACTTAACATGCATATTAACCCTTTGTCATATTTGATTTAAATATTTCTTCCATTCATTGTAATATTTTAAACCCTTTGTCATATTTGATTTAAATATTTCTTCCACTTATTGTAATATTTTAAATTTTGTTTCTTATTTTGTCCACTTGTGTTTAACTTTCTCTCCTACTTTTATGTCTCTTACTACTTCCTCTCTCTTTGCTGGCTTCCTTTTCGCTTTTACTCCCTAGGTGAACTAAGTTCTAAGATCTGTCATAATCATAGTATTTAGGGATTCTTTAATCCCTTCCCCTGACCTGACTGTTTATTTTTTTCTTGAAGATAACATATATGCACATGAATACAATTTAGTTGACTCCTTGAGAGTACCCCGAATCTTCCAAGGCCTTGGCATCAACTTATTTCACAGTAGAGAAAAAAGGTCCAGTGATGTGACTTGCCCTTGACTTCTTAAGTTAGTGGCAGAGAAGGGCAAAGGCCCCAGGTCCCGTGACTTCCAGAGTTCCTTCCATTATACAAGGCCAACTCCACGTTAGTCCTATCCTTTCTCCCAAGCTTTACCTTTGTATCTTCAGTTGCCCCCTGGACAGTTTCACTTGGGTATTCCATTGTTACTTCTCACCCAAGATGTCAAAAACCAGACACTCCAAACTAATTGCCGTAGGTGCCTTGCTCATTTCTGTTAATGGAATCTTCTTTCCTCAAGTCACTTAGACTTGAAAATTCTCAGGCAATTTTGACTCATCTCGCTCCTATTTCATGGGATTCTGAAATTTCTTTCTTCCTCATGTCAATTACGATTGGCCTTCCTTTATGGTCCCAGCACTATCATTCTAATACTGGCTGTTGTCACCTTATCTCTGACTGACTGCCTCAGTCCCCTGACTGGTTTTCCTTAACTTCAGTCTTTCCTCACACAAATGCATCTCATATAATGCATATTGCCAGATTAATTGACCCAAACACTATTTTCACTCTTTCTTTTTCAAAACTCTTTTAGGGTTCCCTGTTGTCTACAGGACAACATGAAATCCTTTAGTCAGAAACTCAGGAGAGCCTTTTCATTCTTATTTTCTATTCTTCCCCAATATAAATCTCTCTAGCTAATTTGATCTCCTCTTTCTCTTTCCAAATAAGAATTGCACTTTCTCACCACACTAGAAGGCCCTCTTCCTTCTCCCACTGACCTTTTCCTACCTAGTTTTCTAGACCAGGCTTAAGTCTCACTTCCTCTTCTCTGCTGACTCTTACCCAGAGTGATCTTCCCTGTCCTATCAGTCTACAGTAATTATTGTCTATATCAGTCATTTGGCACTTTTACTTTCTTTTGATATTACTTATACAGTTGACCTTTGAACAACTCGGGGTTTGGGGGCACCAACCCTTGTGCAGCTGAAAAATCTATGTATAACTTTTAACTCTCCCAGAACTTAACTACGAATAGCCTACTGTTGACCACAAGCTTTACCAATAACATAGACAGTTACAACATGTTAAGTATGTTATATATATATTATGTACTGTACTCTACAATAAAGTGAGCTAGAGAAAAGAAAATTTTTTTCAAATTGTCACAAATCTCCAAAAATTTTACAGTATATATAATGAAAAAAAAACTGTGAATAAGTGCACCTATGCAGTTTAAACCCAAGTTGTTCAAGGGTAAACTGTACTGTTATCTTGAATTATTATTTAGCTCTTTATGTATATTTGTTTACCATTTGCTCTGTAAACCTCTTGAGTTACTGTGATAGAAAGGGAA